GGGAAAATCTCAAACCTCGGCCTACCGTATTGACCGAGCGATAGCGAGGTCAATACGGCAAGACCTCAGTTTGAGATTTTCCCGTAACGACCGAACGGTCGAGGTTATTAAGTAGTTATTAACGCGAATTTTTGAAATTCGCATTAATTTCGTGAAGCGTTTTTCTATAAAAAGGTAAATATACCCTGTGACTCAGACAAACGCGATGGAAAAGAGCTATTTGTCTGCGGTAAATATGGCTGCACGGAGACCATTGTTAACAACAGTAACTGCACTAAGCTAACAGGTTTTGCTAGATTCCAGCAAAACACGTAGCGAAAGAAACAATTCTCAACCTAGCGAATGCGGCTTCGATAAAAGACATTGTACCCGACATTATACTGGTTACGAAGGAAGAAATTACGCTTAAGAAGTAAAACAACGGCAGAAAACACCAATTGCGCTGTCTCTGAGAAGCTATATTTTTGTAAAAATGCTCTGACAACACTTACATGCAGTGTAGTAACGCTCGTTTGCTTGCAAGCGATCTCCGGTCATCTCAGCGAAGTGAATCACAAGAATTTCGTATCAACGCTCATCCGACGACTGATCAGTAGAAAGCTTGCCATGTGATGTTCTCTCCTGCACGTACTCGGTGTGGAACCAGCGGGAGCTGTCTAGCCTTCCAACTTTGACACTACTGAGTTTGGGAACATGTTCTTGCTGCATCGGTTGGAAATCGTAAATAACTGTAGCTCATTTCAAATACAACTCAGTATTTTGCATTTTCATCCGCAAGCTTTGAGCTCCTTGTTTCGTAATTTCCATTGAACTAAGTGCACGTTTTCATGAGCCACAACGCGGCCGGATTCCTCTGGACTAGAAACCTTTAGAACTTTGAAGAGATCGTTCTTCTCTAGAAAGCCACTTGAAACCGCAAGGTTAGCTCAGTGAAGTTCAGTTTGTGATTGACAGCTGTTGTCTCGTTAGCCAGTCAAATTATTTGAACCATTCTAACAAGGATTGTGATTGGCTTATTTCAGCGTGCTTTATCAGAGAATAGATGCATGTTGACGCCACGCTTTCTCGCTTGGAAAATATAGATTGGTTTGAAAATGGAGCTGAATGCGCGGGAAAATGAATGGCTTCTTTATCATAAAACAAAGAAAGAAGCCTCGGCTGTGCTCTGTTCTGTTGCAAAGCACTTAGGAAGCGGTAGAGCACTCAAGGAGTAGGGAAAAACATTCAACTACGTCTCGTGTTTCCGCCTACACTTCTGTCGTGCTTTACTGCTATCTGCGTGCTCCAGTAAAACAGAATAGAGTACAGCCGAGTCTTCTTTATTTGATAATTTTCATCGCTTTCTATCACTTTATCATACAGAATCCAAGAGATGGCAATGTCTGTTTTAAACACTATCAACCACACAAACTCACAAGGAACAGACGGTAAGATAATCAATGCTTCTATTATCACGTTCTGTGTTCTTATTGGTCATTGATGCCTAGTTTATATTTTATTTCCGATCGCCTGGCACACCTTATTTATGTAGCGCTATTTACATCGATACCCCTTGACCAAGCGTGAGGTCAAGATGACTGGATGTTTTCGAAGTTCGAGGCCAATATCCAGCCATTCTGACCGAACAAGCTTGGTCAATAAAGGATTTATTATATGGAAAAAGAACACTATTATCTTGTGGGACATAGCGGGTTATCCCGAGCGGCCAAGCGTATCTTAGCACCATCTTGCCCGCTCGGGTAGCCAATCAACGCGCAAGATTCGGTTCATCTTACCCGCTCACGGAGCTAGCCGTACAATAAAGCAAATTATTATATGGCTAGCTCCCTGAGCGGGCAAGATGAATCAAATCCTGCGCTGTGATTGGCTACCCGAGCGGGCAAGATAGAGCTATCTTGCCCGNCTCGGGACTACCCGCCGTGTCCCGCAAGAAAAATTTCCCCGAAAGCCACATAATAAATCCTTTATTGACCAAGCTTGTTCGTTCAAGATGGCTTGATATTGGCCTCGTTCTTTTTTTGCGTGATTATGGACCTCGACTCTGTCTCGGTCCATAAACACGCAAAAAAAAAAAGAACTTGGCCGATATCCAGCCATCTTGACCTCACACTTGGTCAATAGCCCATATATATCGCCTGCTGGTGATTGCATTATTTTTTAATTTCTCATTATTCTCTCAAAGCCGTATTTCAAAATAGAAACCAACACGAATAGGCCATTTCCGAAATACCTTAAGCCTCTTGCTCAAAGCGAATCTTGGTGCCCTCCTTTCATATGAAAATGGGATTTCATTCACATGCAAGTTTCACTGATTTTCATATGAATGGCCTCGCCTTGCTTAACAGAGAGGCTTAGGTCATAGCACTCATATAACAACAATCCCCTCATCAGCCCTCCTATAGCAACAAACCCCGAGTCAATTGAAAACATTGTTGGCCAGCACGAGTGTGAAATGATATCAAGTCATCCTCTCTCAATTTACAGGAACGTACTTCGATCAAAGCCAAAACTCAAGCATTCAACAGCCCACTACTGCTATCTCAACGAATGTAAAGGTTGGCATGACGTTAGCATATGCAGTCATTTTCATCGTTGCTTTGTCGGGCAACTCT